TCAGCAGTGTATTTCAGTCACTCTCCCTGTGCTGTTCCCTGCTCTGTCTCTGGTGAATCCTGTCACCCTCCACATATCTGGCCTGTGCCCAGGTTCTTGTATGCATGAATAAATAAATCTCAAAAAAAAAAATTTAAAAATGTGGAAAATGCTATTTTAATTATTTGCATCACTATCTTGATTAAAGAACCAAATCTTCTGGTTAAAGCAGGACACTGCATTGTACTGTTTTTGTAGTATAGTCCTTTGCTATGGCATGGCGGCTTTGTGGTGTAATGAAAAGAAGAAATAAAGGATCTGAAGGATTTAAATGTTATTCTCAAAAGTTTAAACTTTATTCTCTTTTTTCTTCTCTCCCATTCTTCCCATCTTCAAACATTTATTGAGAATCTGCTGAGACCATTTATCACCTTGCTGTGCTGACAAAGGAGACACAAGGGTGATGACACTCATAGTATGTGGTAGATGCTTTCTTGTCCCCGCCCCTGCCCCCATAGGGTAGTGTAGGCACTTCCAAGGGACTGGGCACCTCTGACTTATCTCCTGATCTTCCATTGTCTGTATATCTGTTTTACATTCTTTATGAGGTTGTGGTGAGGGTGAAAGGGAGTCACTATATGTTAAAAAGTGTTATGAATTGTAAAAATATTTGCAAGTACAGTTATAGGAAGTAACAGTAATTTAATAGAATATGGGAACATTAATATATAGACTTGAAGAAGGAATTAGCTTTAATAGAGATTTATTTGTTTTCTCTAGTTTAAAATCCCAATTTTTAAATTTTGTATTATTTTATTTTATATATTTTTTACATCTTATTTAAAAAAGATTTATTTATGCATACAGGAGCTGGGGTACAGGCCAGAGGTGTGGGGAGGTGAGAAGATTCACCAGAGACAGAGTGGGGAACAGAACAGGCAGATTGACCAAAGTACACTGCTGAGGGGAGCAGCGGGTGAGTCAGGAGAGGTCTGCTGCACCATGTGGGTTGCTCCCAGGCTGGCCGGGAATGGAGCTCGTGCTGCAGAGGCTGCGGACAGCTTCATAGTTGCGTCTTAATCCCTTGTGCCACCAGGGAGGCCTTAGATCATTTTTAATTTCTGCACAATGTATGCATTTTCATCTTGGTTATAGTCCCCATACAATTCCCACCCCCTTATTTTGACCATAATCCCTCCCCCACCACCTGTAGTATGTCTCTGGTTTATAGTTGCTTGTTGATTTTGTAAAATCCCAAATTTTTATCTCTGTTGTGAAATCTACTTTGGTTCTTTCTGGAAAAAAATGAAGTCCTCTATGTTAATTAGTGCACCCACACTACCTTTTCTATTTCTGTTTCTATGCTTCTATTTCTTGCCATACTCATTGTACCGCCATGACATATTTACAGTTTTATCTTCTCCACTAGGCCATCAGGACTTTGAGGATGGGATTCATGTTTGTTCATCTTTTATGTTACCGGAGCATCTGTACAGAGCAGGTGCTCAGTGTCTAATTGTTAAATAGATTCCAGAAGGAACTTTCCAGAGATATTTCTTTGTATGTTTAATTACAATACTGCTAGGCAAGAGGGATAATTTTCCTTGGTCTGTTAAACATAAAATCCACGCATGAGACAATACAGAATTCTGGATTTTGTGTGCATCACATTAGGCCTATCCTGTCATGGTCCATAAGAAAGAAGAAAGTTAACAGTCATAGAATCTTTGATAGGGTGGAGATCTGGAAATGAGGAAATATTAGTGAGCTGCACAGGTATTATCAGGGAACTTGACCTTGCTTTACCACCAAAGTGATTTTGCCACTGCACCAAAAGTAGAGATAAGGGGATTGAACCAAATGATCTTTAATGCCTTTGTAGTTTGATTCTATTTGGAGATTGGTGTTTTGTTTTTGTATTTATTTTTGGTGGATTTTCTTTGTTTTTTTAATTTTTTATCAATATTTTTATTTATTTTTACTTTTTTTATTATTTAAATTTTATTTTTATATTCCCCATACAATTACAACCCCCTTATTTTGACCCCTACCCCTCCTCTCCCCACCCCCCACCCTCCTTGTTGATTTTGGTATTTTCTTTCTTATAGTTATTCTTTTTCCTGGTCCCTTATTTAAGTTTTCTAGATTCCTGCTATGAGTGAGACCATCCGGTATTTTTCTTTTTCTTTCTGGCTTATTTCGCTGAGCATGATCCCTTCCAGCTCCATCCATGTCGCTGCAAATTGCATGTGTTTATCTTTTTTGAATGCTAAGTAATATTCCATGGTGTATATGTACCACATCTTCTTGATCCAGTCATCTATTTTTGGGCATTTGGGTTGTTTCCAAAGCTTAGCTATTGTAAACAGTGCTGTTGTAAACATAGGTGTGCAGGTGCTCTTTGGAATTGATGTTTCTGTGTCCTTTGGGTAAATACCTAGGAGTGAAATTGCTGGATCATATGGAAGCTCTATGTTTAGTAGGTCCAGAAATTTCCACACAGCTCTCCATAGTGGTTGGACCAGTTTGCACTCCCACCAACAGTGCAGGAGGATTTTCTTTGTAAACAGTTAGAATTAACTGAAAAAGCTCAGCATAGATGAGCTCTGTAAATGTTAAATCTTATACAACTTCATTATATGTTAATGTTCATGACAGCACTAAAGTAATTTGGAGAAAAGGCAAAACACTGAAGGAGATACAACTTAAATCAGACTTTGTAGAAGGAGAGGGTAGATGAAGGACAGTGGGGGTGGAAACACAGCAGCTTCATGCTGAGGGTGTTGCCTAAGTTTGAAAATTGGATTGATACAAAAGAGGTCCTTGGAGACTTCCATTTGATTCTCCAAGCAATAAAGGGCCATGTTCAGGCTGGAGCATACAGTTATACCTACTGAATGTCATCAAAGACTTGGCAGGGGATGAAACCAACATGAGCAAAAGGAAGAGAAGAGGAAATTGCTCATGACACAGTTGGCACAAGGCTCTCTTAGGTGAAGAGAAAGACTGGAAAGGGAGCAAGACTTAAAAGGGAGCAAGGCTAATTTTGTGAAATAGTCATCATTTAATTCAAGAGTTGGAAAGGATGATTATAGATGGAGGAATATGGCGGCTCAGCAAGCCTCTACTTCTCTTGAGTACATCTCATAACTAATAATAGATTTATCTCAGCTTTCCAGTGTAGTTTGTAAAAATGTTTATTAATGAACTTCAGGAGAGATTTGTTTAAAACAAGCATATTGGAGTTATGGCTTACTAAATAAAGGTTAATCAGTCCTAATTTTAATATCATCTCCTAATCTCCACTCTTGAAGAACAAGCATATATCCAAGGCTTATTTTTTAAAAATTTTATAGGGAATAGTCTTTATGTTCTTTTGGCACCTTCACATTTAAACTCTAGGATTATTTAAGTATTATACCACATAGGGACATAGAAGTTTGACTTGACAATGTTGTTGACAGTTTATATGTCAGCATGTAACTGCCTGCCATTTTCTTTACTGTTTTGCATTCTTTTGCAAAAAGTATGCCTTTGTTTAGTCTTGAGGGAGTAAGCTTCCTGATTTGTCATATACTTGAGACATGACTTTTATATAGCTAATGACTGTTCTGTTTTGTATGGAATGCAGATGTTTGCATTTTCATACAATTTCCCCAATATCCTCTCCATTCCTTTTGCATACTGCAAGGTGTCTAATTGATAGTAAATGATGGAGGCATTTTTCCATGTACGTTTTCAGAAAAATGACATTGGTTATAGTAGACACATTTTTCTGCCATTCCAATTTGCGTCATTTATTTCTAAAACCCCATAGTCTGTTTTGTATCACATTTAGCACATAATGGAAGGCCTGGCTAATTAATTTTTATCCTTTGAGTTCACTGAGTTTTTTTTTCTAGCAATATGCCTTAGAAGCTCGAAAAAGTCTTATGAGCTAATATTATGTATTTTGTATGTATACTATTTTTTATGTAGTTGCATATTATGGTTTTAATACCGCATATAGCTTCACTAGATTAAACAGAAAACTTTATATCCACCATGAGAATGTAAAATAGTACATCCACACACATAATACTCAGATAAATTCAAATACTATTATTAAAATATGTGGCTTTTCCCAGAGAAAGTAATAGATACATGTGCTGTGATACTTTATGCTTATCTATTTTAAAGGTTTGTTTTTTTTAGAATAATTTTTAGTGAGTTAAAAAAGTGTTTTATATATTTGTACTGAATGCTATAAAAAATTGCCTATTTAACCCCAACTGGTATCTGGGCTCCTCTTCATCTGGCTTTGCAGGGAAAGCCATGACCATCCCCTCTACTTCCACTTGAAGTCACGGTTTGTGCAAACCTCCTGACAGATGTGAAGGTGGAAGCTACCAGAAATAAATTATGGTGTTTAAACCAATTCAGGAGAACATTTATAGTGATGCACAACACCTCAGCCATGGGGAAGAGAGGGAAAAGGATGATTTCCTGAACTTCTAACATTCTCATGTCTGTGCTTTTGCAGGTTCTTAAAAATGAAGGGTATTTTTTTATTTTTGTGTATTATTAAAATTTTCATTTCGAGTTAATTTGACTTACAGAAAAGTTGCAGAACTATTTAGTACTTACAGTTGGGAAAACAGAATTACAGGATAAATAAGTGATTTGTTTAAAATCTAACAGCAAAGTAAGTGCTCAATAAATATTCAGTGACCAGTGAGAGTCAAAAAGGACTAAAGATGGGGTCTCCTGCCTCTTTGTCATATGATATTTTTCATTACCTGTCTGCATTTCTCAAGGCTGAAAATGCCCTTTTAGATACGCATAATTTACAGTAAATTGTAAGTTACTCTTTGGTTACTTATAGTTATAAACTGAGAAAGTATCTTTGTTCTGTTCCTATTTTTTATTATAAATAACCATGGAATACACAGTGAAAAGACATTTGTAAACACAGCAAAGTAATGTTTTTAATGCTATTGTTTATTATTATTAATTGACCTAGGTAATTTTTGTCTTCACAGAAATTGGCCCAGTGACAATTACTACAGATCCCAAGAAATTTCAATTTGAACTCAGAGAACTATATGTTCAGGTGAGTGCTTTTCAGTTTTATTTTATGAGTATAATCTGAATTATTGGCTTCTAAATTACAAGACTGCTTCTTTTTCTCACCTGAGTCCTGAATGAATGGAACAATAGTTTGGAGTGTGGGGCAGATTGGGTTCAATTTATCCCTCCTTTATGCATTATCCATGGCTGTTTTCATGCAGCAAGGGCAGAATCGAGTAATTGTGACAGCCTGACCCACAAAGCCCAAGATATTTACTATCTGGCCTTAGCAGATAATGTTTATTCATTCCTACTATAGATGAGTCCTTTCACTAATTCTTCCCTAATACTTATAACTAAGGGAATGTGACTTTCTATGCTATAGTCAACTATACACAATTTTTTTTTTTTTTGCATAGAACTGAGGTGCAGTCCAAAGAACAGGGAGTGAGAGGATTCACCAGGGACAGAGTGGGGAGCAGAATAGATAGATTTACTGAAAAATGCTGCAAAAGGGAGCAGTGGGCAAGACAGGAGAGGTCTGCTGTGCCATAATGGGTCAGCTCTCTGGCTGGGGCATCAAACTCAGGATGTTGTGGTGATAGTGCTGAGCCTAGGCCACTGGGAAGCCCTTTATACAATTTTTGAATGTAAGTATAATTTTTATCAGAGAAGATAAATAACATTGGTTAAATGTTACTTTGAAAATAGGACTTAAAGATAAATTTGAGATGAACTTTTGCTCCTGTGCTGCTTTGAGATCATTATTCCTAAATACATTCATTAAAACAAACAAACAAAATAAACGAAACACTTGCTTCTTGTACATGGTTTAAATGTGCTACTTTCCATGTATGGAAATGATCTAGTTAGAATCTTCTCTCCTCAGTTCCTTGATCTGCAACTTAGACATCCTCTGGACCTTACTGTCATCTCAGTCCACTCCATTGCTCAAATTGTTAATTCTAGCAGCTTAGTTTCCAGCAAGAAGCATCTGTCCCACCAGGTTTGTTGGTGCAACTTCTTACACTATAACTGCTCCTTCACCTTCATCAAATTCTGCAGTCTATTAACCCAAACTATCCCATCTCCCCTCTCTTGCACTTTAATCTAGCTCAGAGTCCTGTCATTTCAAAAACACTCTTATTTTCTTCTTTGTTCATTGCCTTTTTTTCCAAAAGGAAAAACCTCATTTCCTAATGACCCTATATATCTTTATTACTCATGTCCATCCACCAGTGACCAAGTGCTGTTGATATCTCCCAATATGGCAGGTTGATTCCACTGTAAATGCATAATAATTTATCTCAACTGGAATCTTCATACTCCTGTGTTCCCACTGTAGTACATTGGTCAATTAAATCTCCCATTTTCCCAGTGACAACTTTTCTTTCATTCTTCTTAAATCTCCATTCCATCACTTTCACTTTGTTCTATTTCAGCAAACTTTCTACTCTGATTTCACTTACTGTTTCACAGTCACAAAAAATGGAAGCCACCTATTTCCTCATACCTAGCTTGTAATCCAGTACCCTACTTGATCTCAACATAGATCCAGTACCCTACTTAATCTCAACTCCTTGGCTTTCTTAGGATCTTAACACTATCAGATTATTTCTCTCAACTGTGTGAAAATTCTCATTTATTTTTAAATATGATCAAGTCTCTCCAAAAATCAAACAAATCCCAACAAACCAAACCATCAAAACCAAAACAAAATGAACAATATTCTATTTTTTCTCAAATTCTCTTGCAAATACTAACTATCCTTTTTTTAAAGATTGATTTATTTATGCATACAAGCAATTTCTATCCTGTACATGGATCACACTAAATTAGAAATTATATTGGCCTGATTGTTCAATTGTTTATGTTCTCCCGTTCTACTGGGAACTGAATGGCAAATGCCTTGTCCTCTCACTGAGCCTCTGATCCTGTGGAATGAGCCAGCATCTGCAACAGAGTGGACTTAAATGACTATTGAATAAAATATTATTTGAGGGTGACTTCCTTTTTTTTTTTGTGGGACCCTCGCCGGCGGCTGGGGAATGAACCTGCGCTGCAGAGGCTGCGGGCAGCCTCGCAGCCCAGCACTCAACCGCTGCACCACCAAAGAGGCCCTGAGGGTGACTTCTTTTAAAAATACACCATGGAATATTACTCAGCAATCAAAAAAGATAAACACATGCAATTTGCAGCAACACGGATGGTGCTGGAAGGGATCATGCTCAGCAAAATAAGCCAGAAAGAAAAAGAAAAATACTGGATGGTCTCACTCATAGCAGGAATCTAGAAAACTTAAATGAGGGACCAGGAAAATGAATAACTATAAGAAAGTGAAAATCAAAATCAACAAAAACTATGAACCAGAGACACTCTATGAGAGGTGGGGGGCGGGGAGGGGAGGGATTGGGGTCAAAATAAGGGGGTTGCAATTGTATGGAGAATATAAAAATAAAATTTATAAAAATTAAAAAAATATATAACAGTCAAAATTGAACAACAAAATATATCAAATATAATTTAAATATTACTTGATATTATAAAAGATGCCTTAAAAGCCTAATGCATTTTCATTACATAGATATTTAGAAGGGCAAAGACATAAACATTTCTGATAGAATATTAGGAAGGGATTTACTGTACTCATTTATTTATTTATTTGCAAGATTAGAGCCAAATTATATTCTTGGATATCTGGCCAGAATGAAAGTACCTATATTCTCAATAAGACTTGGCATGGGCCCTTCCTGATTTCCTGCCTCTCCCTTTCTTTTGTTCTCAAAGATCTTCAGGGAGTGCCCTACTCTCTTTGCTCCATTTGTCTCCGGGGTGGAGGATCCTAACTTCTGACTCATACTGCATTGATTCCCTAACCAGGGCCCTCCCTTCCCACCCTCTGAAATGGAATCTGATACCGATGACTCCATAGGGTCATGTAGCATCTCTGTTTAGGAAAATAATCTTTCTTTCTCCCCTGGAATGGAAGCTGGTGTCCATTTCTCTGGTGGTTTCCTCTGGGCTGACTTCAAGAGATTTTTTTTTTTTTTTTTTTTTGCATTGTTTGGGGATCCAAGAGGATGTAGAACAACTAGCCTGGGAAGAAATCAAATATTTACTTTGCCCTTCATTTGACATTGGGCACTGTTCTAGGCATGGAGGATACCATGAAAGTGTTTTTATTTTCAAAATTTCTAGTGAATTCTTTTTTTAAATTAATGGCAAAAATTTTCATTAAGTAAGGGTTAAACATGAAAAGACTTTAGATTATATTACTTAACATCTAGTTTAAAGAATATGTTTTGGGCCTCCCTGGTGGTGCAAGGGGTTGAACACCGCACTATGAAGCAATCGTAGCCTCTGTGGCACGAGTTCGATCCCCGGCCAGCCAGAGAGAAACCCACATGGTGCAGCAGACCTCTCCTGCCTTGCCCACTGCTCCCCTCAGCAGTGTATTTCAGTCGATCTGCCTGTTCTGTTCCCTCTCTGTCTCTGGTGAATCCTCTCACCACCCCCCATACACACACACCTCTGGCCTATATGCCAGCTCTTGTATGCATAAATAAATATTTTTTAAAAACTTATTGAAAAAAAGGAATATGTTTTTTTTTGTGTGTTGGCTTGGAGAATATTTTGTTATTTCATAAATCGAGACAATAAGCTTCCAAAATTTCATAAAATAGCGCAAGGTACACTTATTTAATTCCCTTCCTGTCATTTCTAATAACTTCCTCAAAGTCACTGATATCAAAAGCATTAGATTGCAGTCCTGTTAAAACCAACTTGGATTAAAAAACAAAAAAACTTTAAAAATATCCCTTTCATATTTGTAATAGTTTTGAAAACAAGAAAATTCAGTTTGAAATAAATTAATCACCCACTAACATTACACTAGGCTCAGCTGTTTTTCTTACAGAGATATGGAATTAACTTGAGGAAAAGTAATTTAAATTTTTCTAAGAAAAATGTAGCCAAAACCCACTAAACTTAAATCATTAAATTTAGAACATTAATTTTATTGTGATTTATCCTCTTTTATCTGGAATACAGAGAAAAAACTTGAAAAGCAACTGAGATTTCTCTTGGGGAAAAGAAGGGAAGACAAATGAGAACAAATGGTATTCAAATCACATAGAGCTTTGGGAATTAATATCCTTGTAAATATCAGTGCAAAGCCCTGCCTCGGGTCACATTCTTTATAAGAAGCTATAAAGTTTGTTGATTTTTAGAAAATGGTGTTGGCAGTAATATGCTTTCAAGCCTTTTATCCTTGTATTTTAAAGAACAAAAAACACATTAGTCAAACATTTGAAATGTAAAAAATAGAAGATATTTCTATAATAATGGAATTATAGTTCTAACTTTTATATAGATAGTTGTTCCCCCCAAACTGAGAAGCTTCACATGTAATTTGATTTTCCTTTGTGAAGATTCAGTAATTTAATTTTTAAAAAGGAAGATTAAAATTAAAAATATGTGGAACAGCATTATCACATAGCAATAAGATAAAGTTATGAAGAAGACTAAGACCCAGTTATTGTCATTCTTTAACAGAAACAGAACACTGGATTTAAACTGTAACAGACGAAGATTGGGGGAAAATATTTTGCTGTAGAAAAGTCCTAGCAGTTGATGTTAGAATTAAATCCATGAAAAACCACAGCCAGATAGGCAATAACTGTGAAAAAGAAGGGGATATGATAATGGTGATTTCAGAATATTTTCCTCTGCCAACTTTGTATATGCTTTATCTAATTTCTAGTGTCCTAAACTATGCTATCATGTAAAAGTTGTTATGTGTTTTTTGTTACACATGCTGTTATGTTTTTTGTTCTTTAAAATACAAGGATAAAGGGCATGAAAGCATATTACATATGCTCTAGATTTCTAATGAATCCTAAACGAATGAAAATAATCAAACTGATATAAAACAAAAAAATTAAGAAAGAAAAATAAAAAAATTGACTTGAAAGAAAAGGGGAGGGATTTTATGTCAGCATGTAGGTAGAGTAGAGCTGTAAGAGATGTGATTTTCATTTTTCA